GTAGTAGTAGTAGTAGTAGTAGTAGTAGTAGTAGTAGTAGTAGTAGCTAGTAGCTAGTAGCAGTAGCTAGTAGTAGTAGCTAGTAGCAGTAGCTAGTAGTAGTAGCTAGTAGTAGTAGCTAGTAGTAGTAGGTAGTAGGTAGTAGGTAGTAGGTAGTAGGTAGTAGGTAGTAGGTAGTAGGTAGTAGTAGTAGTAGCAGCTCCCACGCTCGCTGCGAGCTATTTGTGTCCTGGCGCAAGGACATGGACAACGAGATATTGCATACTGAACTGATCGCCCCAAGGCCTGAAGAAGCCTAAGTGAAAAAATTGGGTAGGTAAAGCAGGTAGTGTGTAGTGCAGTCTGACTGTCCCTAGAGGCTCCAAGTCATCAAAGAGACTCCAAGTTATCAAAGGAAAACTCCAAAAGCGAGGTCGATGATCGCGATTTGACAGGATGACGACGAAAGCGCGCATCCGCAGAACTCATTAGCCTTTTACAAGAGAGTCGAGTCACAGCTTGGTCAACAGTTCAAAAGAAGCAGGTACGTGGAGTTGATCAGACTCCATATCAGTTGTGGCATTGCCCTCTTCGTTGGGCAAGCAGCTATTCTCACGAGGTTGTCCCCCTGCAAAAAAAGGTTCCCGGTGACTCCAAGGGTTTCACACACACACACACATCAGCACAACCTCCCCCTAGCAAGCAGTGCAAGTGAGCGAGCGCGAGTGAGTGAGTGCAAGTGCGCGTGCGGAAGTGAGTGGCGGGACGGGAGTGCGGATAAAAAGAGAACCCCACACAACGATGTGGAGAAACATCACCATCACCACCTATAAGCTGCTTGGGGCAGCGGAGCGCAAGCGGCCTTCTCTAAAAGCCAGGTGTCCCGGCCACGTCTCCGCCATCTGCCCTTGCCACATCTGGCGCTTCGACAGTAGGCGCTGCATCCGAAGAGCCAAGGCTTCACCACCGGTGAGCATCTCCTGACGTAAACGTGCACCAGGCACAGAAAACGTTGTTGGGTGTTCAATGGTTTTCAGGTTTCTTGGGGGGCTGGTGATGTCTTTTTTCTATTCTGTCAAGATCGTCGTGCGTAACAAAAGAACGTTGGACGTCATCCAGAATGATCACAATTCCGTTCGTGGCGCGGTTTGTGGGTTTCGAATGTTGCCAGTAAATCGTGGCGCGTAGCGCATGCAGCCTGCATTGTGCAGAATACCCCCAGCGTGTGGGAAGTTTGGTATGAACAGGCAAGGTGAAAGAATATAAGTGAGCGCCTTTTGCTTAATCTAAAGAAAATCAAGGCTACTAGTAACAAGAAGCTACTAGGTTGCAGGCCATCACTACTAGGTTGGAGGCCATCGCTAGTAGGGTGGAGGCCATCGCTAGTAGGTTGGAGGCCATCGCTATTAGGTTGGAGGCCATCGCTAGTAGGGTGGAGGCCATCGCTAGTAGGGAGGCCATCGCTAGTAGGGTGGAGGCCAGTTGGAGGTCATCGCTAGTAGGGTGGAGGCCATTGCTATTAGGTTGGAGGCCATCGCTAGTAGGGTGGAGGCCATCGCTATTAGGTTGGAGGCCATCGCTATTAGGGTGGAGGCCATTGCTACTAGTAGCTAGAAGCTAAGAAACAGAACCGCCCACTTTCACTCCATTCTGAAGCACCTCATTCACCAAGGCGGGCATGCTGGACAACATGCTGGCCACTGCGTCCATTCTCGACCTTGACGGGTGGGCAGGCTGCAATCAAGGAGGGAAGGGCTTCAAACACGTGACTGGCATTCTGTAGGACTCTATAAGGCTCTAGGACCCAAATCATTTCCGTGTTGGACTTTGCAGAGTCCTGATCAACTTCTTCGTCCCTCAACTTCTCGACTTGCGTTCCAAGTCGCTGCGAGCCTTCCGGCTGGGCAGCCTGCAACAACGCCAGACTGGGGCACGTGACAATGCACACAAACCATCCTTTCTGGGTGGTTTCAGCAGCATCAACTAACAAGAACAGTGGACCAGTGTCCCCACACAAATAGCACACCTCTAAGATGGAGCAGCCGGCTCGCAACTGACCGCAGCGGACACCTAGACTTTGTGCCATGCCCCTTAGCCAGGACAGCTCCTGCGGCAGGTGGATTAACAAAGAATTTCAAAGGGGTGACAAACAAGCCCAACTGACTTTCATGTCTGTCTCCTTAGGCACGGTCTCCGTGACCGAAGAAACATGGTCCAACTTGATGAACATCTGTTATCTGTGGTCAACTCTTTTTCGCGAATCACTTGTATTATCAGTCCCCGACGTTGAGAATTCCCGTGAACAGCTCTTGAAACACATCTGTGAGCATATCTTCTGTTCTCCTCCTTGCTCGTCAAACTTGCCAAGTGCTGTGCAGTATTCCTTGGTATAGAAATGGAGCGCTGATTCTTGTGCAAAGGCTCAGAGGTTCGTGCAAAGGCTAAGAGGTTGGTCCCAACAAACTTGCTTTGCGTGATGGTCGCACATTCAGTGCCTCCTGTGCACCAACATTGACTTGCACTGAAATAAGATGCATTCTTTGAAACTCCATGTTGACCTGATGGAGACTACAACGTCAACCCACTTGCTATCAGAGTCAGCACTGGATTTGTATGGATTGTACTCGAAATCCAATGGATGTACTGACAAGCCGTGCTACAGTATGGGAGTCATGTTCCATCTTCTACATTCTTTTGCCGTGGTGACTGATAGCTCAGTTTAGAACACCAGATGGACCCCCCCCAAACTCCAGCACACGGACAGAAGTGGCCTTTCTCCAGAGGTATGAGGGTGCAACTCTGAAGATCAAGACCGAGCAAAAACAAGTTTGAATGATTTTCTGTGAAAGTCTCTCAGCAACGTGAGCCACAACATGCTCCAGTGAGGTTCTCAAGCCCCGCTCCTGTGTCACCACCCAGCTTGGAGAGTTGACAAATGTTGACAGCAAGACCGATTTTGCAGCAGTCAGAAGGTTTGGCTCAGGTTGAACAGTCATCGATGGGACCACAGGATTGCCTCATAGCTCAAAACAAGGTCCAAAAAGCGTGCAAAGGACCCGAAGAATATTAATTAATCACCACGAGCAGATTCACCAACCCCCGGAAGCACACGCACTTAGCAATGCTCACTAGCTTGCCCCCCCCAAACACCCCCACCACCTTACAAACATCGACCTAGTCGCTGATCCGGCTCCCGCCACCAGCGAGTGCAGGCTTCAGCCACGTCTAATCCTTGATCCAGCTCCTGCGCCAGAGAACCCTGGCAGCTTCGCCCGCCAGCACCCTCGACCTCGTTGGAGTCCTTGGGGTCCTGTACTTCTTCGTGGATTTTCCCCTCTTCTGACAGTGGCACTCGTTGACGTGGCGGAGGTGGTAGGGTCCAACAGGCCCACGCTTTGGGGTCAACGAATCAGAACTGGTCTCAGGATGGCCTGTAAGTTGAAATCTCCTCCATCCAACATGGAACGTAGTCCCCATGGCCCCGAAAGGAAGATTCTTTTCATCAACAGGCTGCGCCATCCACTTCCCAGAATATTTGGCGTTTTGAAACTGGGGTCACCAGTCTCGGCTCCACTTCCATTGTCCTTCTGAAACATTGGCTGTCAGAGGCCGTCTGTCAAGCGAGGAGTCCGCCCCTGGATTTTGCCGGAACCCCCCAAAAACTGTGGGCCTCATGTTCTGCCTTTCCGAGCTCTGCCGAAGACGGGGCAAGTGCCTAACCCCCTACTTCCAGTCCAGTGGTCTGACGAGTTCGGGTGTCCGAAGCTCGGACATGTCCAGAAAATCGAGTTGGCCGAGGCACTTCTCGGATGGACCGATGGACCATGAGCAGTATAGGTTCCTATCACTTCGTGCCATGCAGCTCCTCGAGCTTCTCTGACAGAGTGACATGCACCTGCGGCTTGGTTCGCTTAGGATTCCACTCTTTTGATTGAACCGATTGTAGGATTCGACCTACCCTACAGTGGATTCATCTCAATGGACCAACATGAATGAGCTAGCCCAATTAATCATCAATGAATCCACTTTTTATCTCCAATAGAAGGTCTTCATGTGTCCTCACAATACTCATGTGTTGTAGTTTCAGCATTCCCGACAACTCTCTCTCTTGCTTCATTGGATTTCGCCTAGGGCCTAGCCTATTTCGACAGCCAGCCTTTACATGCCAGAAACATACACTTGGTATCATTTAATGACGCACCTGATTCTTCTGAGAAGCTTCTCTGCCTCACCCGCCTCCGCGTCGGAGCTCCCAAGCGCCCAGCGCTCGGCCAACGTCTCGTGCGCCCGACGCGTGGCCTCACAGGACAGGGGGGGGAAGTGGTTCGGCCGGGGGGCAGCCGAATGACTCCGAGCTAGAAAGGAAACCCATGGCTCCTCCCTTGTGCGAGGACCATGTGGGTGGTACCCATTACCAACTGAGCAAACGGGTCAACAAGCTGCATGAAAAAGACCGATCAAGAGACCACAGAACGTGCTTCTGAGATCTTCTGAGCATGCTCCCATGCTCAAATACCTGGAAAAAGACATACGAAACAATTCCCGTCGCAGCGGCGCATGCACACGCGAGCTCTGAGCCTCCAAAGAGTTCAAGGCTTGCTCGACCTGCTTCTGAACTTCTTGGCTGTCAAACAGGGTGCCGCTCAGTTGCACCACCTGCGCAGGAACAGAACGGGCACCCAACTCGGCGGCTCTTGGGGCCAATCGATGATGATGACATGCTCTTCATCTTGGAAAAAACTTGGAGAAACCCGGCCCACGCATAGGGACTGATGATCGTTGAGTGCCCAAATTCACCCCCAAAAGTCAATTTAGCCTATTTTGCAGAGACTGCTGTGGTTAAGGACAAACCCACCCCCTTCCAACACCAGCGATGCTGGAGTTAGGACCGCCAAAAGCCTTCGTCCTTTCATCTACTTGGCACAGTTTCCGGTCCAAGGGCGCCTGCCCCGGTGCCCCGGAAACACCGGAAACACGGGAAAGCGTCACATCGGGTTCTTCACGACTTCACAACACCACACGGACGAGTCGATGGGACGAGTCGATGGACTTCAATGCTTCAACCCGACCTGCCAGGTGCCTTCCGCTCTTTGTTTGACTCTATGACTCGCCACTGGGGAGGCTTCCGCCGTGAAAGACCGCAAGGGTTTTTAGAAGTAGTGCTTGTTACACTTGTTCTTTGCTGAGCCATGGCATCCGTACAGTGAAGCACAGTTCTTCACTCTGCGCTTGAGAAACTGCTTGGCAAATAAACATGACATGATATGACATGTTCAAGCCAGCATACCAGCACCTTCCGGTAGGGGTCTCCAATGGAATACCGAGTACCCTACAAGATAACTTGTGGATTTCCATTGAACATCCCTTGAAAGGTCCAGGTAGGCTTTCCTGGTTTGTTTGACAAATTTGCTCGGTTTGTTGGAACAATTCACAAAGAACCGGACAGAAACTGTCACGAGGCTGCCGGGTGCCGCAGGCACTGGAGAATCACAGCGGCTTCCCTGGACGCAAAAAGATGCCATGCAGAGGAGATCGGCCAGAAGTCAATGTCCAGATCTTGAGAAGCTATATTTCATGCCCAGGCCGCATGGTTTTCAGACTGATCCTTTGATTTCACGTCGGGCACAATGGTTCGCACTGATGTGTCCAATCACTTGTGGGCACATACTCGCTGAAACTGCCGCTGTCAAAGACAGACCTCCTACACCCTCAACCAGCCAGGTTCACCAATCGTTGCATGCGACGCATGACACGTCGCGCGAAACCAACAGCGTCTGACGAGTCTGGCTTGCCCACGTTCCCGCCCACGTTCCTGCGCGTCATGCCACGGTTGGAAACAGCCAAAACGAGACTTCACACCGCAGTCTGTGCCACCACCCCATTCGGGTGGTAGTTGTTGGATGGTAAATAAAGTACAGGGTAGGGGAATCTATCAACCACCCAAACTGGGTGGTGCTGGCAAAGGGAACTTAAACCCTAAACCAAACCCAAATCCTTCCAGAGGTTCCCTGAAACAAGAAGGATCGAACTTCAAGAATCAGCAACTACCTTGATCTTCCAAGTCCAATGTTTCTTGGGTTTCCGCCACCTGAGCACCTGCAGTGGGGTCTGAGAACAAACGGGGTCCTGGTAGAAACACAACACTCTGCCCAAAAATGTAGACTTGGATTTGCTTAAGGAACCAGTTTTCTTGCACTTCAAGCAACCATACGGTCTAGCCGGTAGCATACGCGAAGGAACCAGGAACAAATCGTACAAACCATCTATCTTCACCAGCAGGGGATGCATTCAATTCGGACAACATCTGAGTACTACTCTCCCAGCTTTTCCGCCCAAATCCAAGTACTACTCTCCCAGCTCGAAGGGTGGACGTCCGTCCAATTTTGCCTTCGCAAAAACCCGGTGAAATAGAACCTTCCCACTTCCCACCCTGTTGTTCTCCCGACAGGAACGCCCCCAACGAATGGAGGGACTTAGCGACTACATGTAGTTTGTGAGCCCGCAAGAGCCAGAAGGGTCACGCTCAATCGACCGGGCTGCTGGAAGCGTCAAGTCGATTTGATTGGGCCACATGTGCGCCAAACGATTGGGTGATTTTCCTCCACGAAAAAACGTCATAATCATACAGTACATGACCCTCCCTTTGTGCTCCACCGCAACCTACCCAAAAACATCCTTCCAAACATTTCAGGTAGTTGGTTTCAAAACCTCACTGATGCTGTGTTTCCCGACAACACGTTGCACCCTGTTCCCCCCAGGCTCCTCCTCCCTCGCCGGGCGCCCACGGACTCGCCGGCCTCCGTTCGGCGGTTCTGCGCCGTGGTCTCCGACAACTCGCTGCGGAAGACACGCGTGAGGCGTTTGGACCTTGGGCCGGTGAAGGGGTGAGGGCGCGAGGGCACGGGTCAGATCCACAGTGGTTGATTTGTTGAACTCTTGGGATGAGTGACAGCTCTAAGTGGGTTGCTTTTGGTAAGCAGAGTTGGCGGTAGGGGTTGAACCTACTGACTGGCTAAGGTGCGCCACTGCACGTTCGTCAGATACTACAAAGGGTGTTGGTTCATTTTGACAGCAGGACGGTGTTCATGGAAGTTGAAGTCAATTGAGGAGTGCGTAACAACTCACCTGCCGAATAGACAATTGCTGAGAACGGGTGGCGCTCAAGCGGATGACCGTGTAGGAGGGCGTATAGGGGTTGTAATGCAACTTTTGGCGTGAGCGAATCAGCCTGGGCAGATCTTGGTGGTAGTAGCAAAAATTTAACTGAGAACTTTGAAGGCTAAGTGGAGAAGGTGAGCTTAGCTTCAACTTCCTAGTGACAAGAGTCTAGTGGTCCACGTGCAGGTGCATAACATGCCATGCACCTGCTGGCTGCGTGGATTGGAACATCAGACCAGTCCTCCTTGTGTCTGGCAGCTTGGTCCCGAAGCTGCCTAGAATGAAAAGAGCCGTCCTTCTCCAGGCCCTCATACATACTTGGCTTTTCCAATTCCTGTTCTGTCAGAGTTGAAGAATGTTTGACATAAAAGTCAATCCTGCTCCTTCTTTTTGAAGCTAGCTTCTGATTCCTGCGAGCGTGGAACAAGCTCTTGAATCTGACTAATCGGTTGCGGGGCAGGGTGCCGCTGCCAGCTGTGTGGGCATGCACAACGTCCAAACAGACCCGCTGCTCGCTTGGGATAGAACAAAGTAGGTCAGGGAATTTGGCAAAACAAATCCATAACTTTGGGGGTGTATATAACATTATATAACTGTCTGTTGCATCTCTGGGCAACATGTCGCGTCTCGTCTCGTGGCCCTTCCCCCACCGAAACCGCGGAATTCCTCCCTCAGCTGGATCCGAGGCACGGCTCTTTCAGGTCCTCGACACGGCGCGGCTCGTCGTCGGAACCCAACCGACCGACGGCCCGACCGGTTGCCACCGACACCCGGCCCGTTGGGGCGGTTTGGGAGCGGCCGCAGTTTCCCCATTCGCCGAAACAGGTGGACCATTCTTTTGGAAGGGTGGAGCTGGTTTTGGTCGAACATCCTGAATCAAACTCAAGGGTGTTTAGATGGTTCGCCAGAATTTTCGAGGTGTTCCTCTCGGATTCGTGTCCACGTCATGAAAGGTGGTTAGCCAGGTCCACCAGGTCGGGCTTCGTTCCCGATCGGTGAACTCTTTCACGGCACGGTGCCCCCTCTCCCGGCTGGAAGGGGTCGGGCACCCCTTTCGGCCCGAGCCCCTTGAATGAAACAAGGACGCTTCGCCCACATGTTCGATCCCGAAGAATCCCCCAAGAGCCGGCACGGTGACCAAGGAGACTGTCGACTTGTTTAGACTTCAGAACTTCCATGACACTCCATGACACTCCATGGAAACCGGAATGGATGCCTCAGTTTGAGGCCAGTTTGGGGAGTGAATGTAGGCACATGTTCGAGTCCCATGGAGTGTCTGGGACTTTTTATCAACCTTTCTTTAAGTGTGCCGCCTCTCAGGAACCTTTTTTTCTGAGACGGGCTGCGAAGCCGAAGGTGAGGAAAACACTTCGACGATTTGCGTCTGCGAAAGAGCCTTCAGTTTGACTAAAATAAGAACATGCTTGAGCTGGTGTAGTCTTGAAATCCTTCGAACAACATATAGTTCTTTGGTCCCTCATTTGTGGACGCAGTCTCAGTCTCCCTCCTCATGAACCCATTCCACCAAGAGAGAGAGAGAGAGAGAGCGAGCGAGCAGCGGGCTGACAGGGGCTGTTTGGTAAAAGACCTTTAACATAAATCAATCCCAGTGGATCCAGTTACCACTAGACTATGTATCCAGTTCTCGAAACCCTGGTTCCTTATATAGTGGTGACTGGGATCCACGAGGAATAGTGGCCAGGAATCCCATTGCACGATGTCCAAGATCTCTTTTTAGCTCGGAGGTGCAGTCCCAAGTCTGTTTGAAGTCTCCAAGTCACTTGACCGGTTTCGGGAGGGGGGAACTCAAAAAGACAACTGATAGGCTACAATGCAACGGGTGGGAAAGAACATCCGCTTGGTTACTTTCACACCAGATTCAACTAGGATGAGGGCTGGCCCCTCCAGGTTGTTTAACATCCTCCCTGGTGATGATGCTCCTTTAAAATTGGACTTCCAACGCCATATTTGAAGTGGATCCAGCACGATGCACAAAGGGTAAAAGGAACTGGTCACCTTGTGCAAAACCCCAATCTGCTGCCAAAGTCGTATTGGTGTTCTCAGCACTGGACTGTCTGTCGGCGTGTTGCTTTGTCTGTATATCTTCATGTAAGTAAGAACTTGTGAGTCATTGTCTTGCTGAGGGAAACATAGTCAGTCAGTTCCCTGTATTTATTCAGAAGGCAATCCCATAATACTGTTGCCCATGTAAGAACTGGTGCGTCCTAGCTGGGTGTACTCGCCATTTGCCCCGCACCCCGCACAGCCCGCACCCCTTGCCAAGGTTCCAAAAAGAACTCCCAAAGCTTACATATCAAAGCGCTGGGTGTTGCTAACAGCGGCCTACCTGCATATGTTGCAAGAAGGCTGCAGGGAGAAAATGGGAAGGGGAACGGGATGTGTGAACAAAGAAGGTTGGCTGCTCTTACCAAGACTACCTGCTTACATCATCGCTCCAGTTGCAATATTATGTGCCGCTAAATGTTATGAACACGCTTCACCCATTTCACCCACAGGGGATATTGTCCAAGTGGCCCAATGCAAGCTACCACGAAGTGAATGCGTTTGCAATCCTGCTCTAGGGGTTGAACGGCCATGTGGGTTGCACCCTCAAAACACAGTGCTAAGCCCGAATCGAAGTGGCAATCAATTTCGATGCGCCATAGCATGCCATCTTCCAAACATATCAAGATCTTGGATTTGCCAACCAGGACAAACAAAACATCTTCTCCAGGCTTCCAACAGCACCAACGACCATTCTTTTAATAGCCTGAATCCCAAACAACATATACAGTATGTTTTAACTCAGGATGCCATTACACATTTTTACACTACAGGTCGCCAGACCTGGTCCATTTTCTTTGACTGGCTGACATGTTTTTTTTCTTTTTTCGGCTGTTTCGGGGATCTGTCATATACCACGATTCCGCTAAACCATCCAACCGTGCTGGTTTAAAGGCGCGCCCCGGATGTGTTGGGTATGGCTGGATATCAGAGGTAGGGTGAAAATAGAAAGGAACTACCAAAAAGAAGTGAGTTCCAGCAGTGAGAGGAGTCACTGAACTCATGTACACTCTGAGAGCAATGAACATGTACACTCGAGGCAGTCTCACATCTCACTTCTTCCCACTTCTGTCACATCCCATTCGCCTTCCACTTCAAGGTTGCTTGGGTTCAGCTCCAAGTGCTGCCCTGTGCGCCGATGATTGCAGATCATCCATGAAATCAATCCGAATACCGAACAGGTGGTGAACTCACTTCACTTCCATGATTATTCCAGCCTGGAAATCCAAACTTCCACAGATTGGAGATGATGCAAACATCCTTTGTACCAAAAGGAGTGTATACAGGTCCCAGGACCCTCCCAGGATTTTTCGATTCCGGGGAGCCCCGACACCTACCTGCCTTGGGTCGCAAGTCTCCACCCCTGGTGAAGACGCAAACTCATGACAGGAGTCATCCTGTTCCACCTTTCTCTGCAATTCCGGCCAAAAAGTTGGGTATGAACAGCTGGGCGAATGCTGCAAACTCAGAGGTGACGGTGACATACTCCACCATTCCTCCCAAAAGGCTGGACCCCCCCTTGAAGGCGGCTAGCCCCTTGGTCTACTCTCTAGGCGGGGGCTTAGATCCATGTTTTTCGCTGCGAAGCATGTGTCAACTGCTGGTTTGGGCAGCTTCAGGAGAGTACATGGACACTCCCCAACTCACCTCCCAGGGCAAGCCACATATTATGTGCGAAGAACAGCACAAGTGATCAGGAGACTCAACATGGGCTTAGTCTGGACTGAGGACCCGGTTATGTTCAAGAGAGACGTGTGCACAAGATCGAAAAGCCTTAGGCAAAGGAACAAGTGCAATGTACGAGTGCTATGGCGCTAGGACAGCCAAGCCCTAAACCAAGCGCAAAACAAACCCTAAAGAAGCCAAGCCCTAAACACCGCCCAAACAAACCCGCCTAAAGAAGCCAAGCCCTAAACAAAGCCAAAACAATCCCGAAAGAAGTGGAGCCTGAAACCAACCCTAAACAACCCAAAGAAGTCAAGCCCTATACCAACCCTAAACAAGCCCAAACAAAGCCTAAAGAAGCCAAGCCCTGAACCAAACCCAATCAAACTCGCGTAAAGAAACCAAGCCCTAAACCAAACCCTTCCAACACGCAAGCTTCAGTAGAAGTGTGGGCATCAGTCACGACAATGCCACCTCCCACCAGTGAAGCACAATCATCTTTCTTGAGATTCCAAGCAGTCAGGACCCGATCAAGGTCATCGTAGACTTGTTGAGGAAGAGAATCAACCACCATGATGGCAAGTCGCCAGCATCCCACACAGTCCTGAAACTCCAAGCAAGTTCATTCCAATGGTCAGATCGTCCACGTCTAGACTTGATGAACAAGATTCAGACTACAAGTTTCCAGAAGAGACATGAAAGAGTAGTTGGAACAGTCAGTATCAAGATGTAGATCCAAGACCCGTCAGGACATTGCCTCCAGTGTAGGAAGTCAGAGAAACTGCACTTGCATTCAGACAAAGTGTAGTGAATCTGCTGGAAGTCTCCTTCTGCAAACGGGAACAGAAGAAACAAGTCGAGAAGCAGTCCACTTGAAGATTCCTCGCGCCCAAAAGAGGGCAAGTAGGTTTCACAACCATCAATTGCAAGCGCATCATGCCAAGAAGTGAAGCTCAAGTCACAGGGCAAAGGCACGTCTTGAGTGAGTACGTTGCCAAGAAGCAACGCTAGAAAGGTGAAACTCATCTGCAGAAGCAGAACCTACCGTTGGCTGAGGAAGGATGCCAACAAGCAGATCAGTCCGAAAGTTGCCGACGTGATCCAGATGGCAGGAAAGGAAGCCGAAGGCTACTCCTATATAATCCCAAGAGCCCAATCAGAAAGTCACTCCGAACTGCACGTGCAGTTTGTACCATGCTCGACGCCGCCAGAAAGCAAGCACTTCCCACAGCAACTCGGACTTCGGAAAGAATCTTTGCCAGTTGTAGCCCGGCCACGAAGGCGGAGAGCCGCTTGGTCTAAAACTCTTGTGTTTGCTTGAGGAACCTGGAGAAAATAGAGTATACTATAGTTTAAATTTACCAGAAGGCGATTTACCCAAAGGAAAAGTAAAACCATTGCCTTAAGCAGCAAGAACTCCTTAGCACTGAAGCAGAAGCAACTGATTAGCCAAACCACGATTCTTGAACCTCGCAAGGCGGGTCTCAGAAGCTGTTGTTTTGCTTGCCTGAGAGAGCTGGGTTAACTCCTCCGCTGAGCATCCCATCGGGTCGTGCGAAGGTTGGAGCCAACTTTCGGTTCAACCGTTTGGGGACGATCTCCCCAAACGAAGAAGCATGAAAAACCCTAAAACCCACACATCACATGGTTACGTGGATGGCATGGTCCCGAAAGGAAGACCACTTTCCTTTCAAACAGGGGGCTTTTGCCGCTTCCATGTGACGTGTTCGTCGGGAGCGTGCGCTCCGTGAAATCGTGGGTGGCATGGTCCCGAGTTTTGGATGACCATGAGTCTTCCGAAGACCAAACAGGAGCTCCACATCCATGAGTATTTCAAGGAGTGTATCATAAACAGTACTTCAGGTAGACCCAGTTGACAAGGCGTTGAGAAGCACTGTCTTAAGCCGTTGTTCTCACTGCCCCCATGCGCCACCTCGTTCGATGAGCCACTGACGTTGAATCTGAAGCTCTTGAGAGAGCAAGGGCAACAAGCCTGCTTGGAGCAAAGGAAACACACAAAGAAGTCGGAGCAGTCCCACCTAGGTGTCCCTTGGGTAAACTTATTCAGGAGATGCTTTTTGCTGTTCTCATCTCTCTTGCGATGGGGCTCTATGGTGTGGGATCTACGTCCAAACGTTCAAGAGGGGCAAGTTCTGCCAGTTTAGCTGTGACTTGGACTTGCTGATTCGAAATCGGGAAAACATAAAACATATCACCAGGAAAGGGATTCATCCACAGGACGAATAAAGAATAAACCAAATCACCCACTAAGCAAAGCAGGCTTGACCAACAGCCAAATCCACTCCACGTGCAGCTTCGACATGTTGAACATAATATATGCATTGTCTGGACCCTCAGGAGCCCAAAATCCAACCTCCTGTGGAGCAAGATGGATGAATCTTCCAATTCCGATGCAGGTTCTGCCTTGTCATCCATCAAACCAACGAAAAAACACCGAAATCTTTTGCAGAGTCGGCAGAGGTGGGTGGGTAGGTGGTGGTGGGTGTGTTGATTCATTCGACGCAGGCTTCTGTCCCAAGTCAACGTCCTACCTGCTGGGCTGCCGGAGCCAAATCCCTCAAACCGAGTCGGTGCATCCCGTTGTCTTTTGAACAATTGCTTCCTCTTCAAAAAATATCCGAGAACGGTCGAAGCCTTCCATTGGACTTTCCAGACTCAACATGGACAGCCCGGGTTCGCCCCGGTGAAAAACCTCACTTAGATGTCCGGAAAACACCAATGAATCAACTATGAACAATCCCCTCCTCGCAAGTGCTGTAGGGGAATACTTGTAGTCATCAGTCTCCCCTCCAGTCTCCCTGAGAGATTCCCAGCCTGGAGCAGGCAGGGCGCCTTCCAACCCCCGGGTCCACATTCTCCGGATACTCTTCCTCTGGGCCTGCAAGCCATCCGAACATACGCCTCTGAGGTGCCTCGTGCTACTAGAAGATGGGAGTAAGTTCTCGCATCGACGAAAACACTTCCATGAGCCTCTTGACAAATGGGACTGGTCCATCAACACTAGGGAGTCTTCCGGAAACGCTTCCAGATACCGGTCGAGTCCCCCCCAAGCATTTCCACTGATTCGAGGTCCATGTGAAGCGGCGATTCGGATCTACGATCACAACAATTTTGATCAAAGCCAACTCCGAATCACTAACACACCCAGTCCTTGTCCTACGCCGCGGCATGGCTTCCGTGTGAAGATATCTGAATATCTGACACTGGTAGGGCGGGCTTCCTTGTAGACCACCAGAAACAGACCAAGAAAGCACTGAAACAGACCTCTTAGTAGGATCCAAGCTAGCTTTCTTTCTCGATCTTCCAAGGTCCGTCCCGAGGTCTCGGTCGTGAGAAGGACGAAAAGACGAATCGTGGCCATGAACATGTCAGGTGGCTGTAGGTCATGTCACCGGTACATCGGCAGGTGCTCTTCTTCCCGAACATGAAGCAGAACAGGAGCGACTGGGTGGACCATCACATGGTTTCACGAGTTTGCATGGGTAGTCTGGAGCACCAGGGGTTTGCACGACCCACGGATGCGCTAGGTATGAACATCACCTTCCTGATCTTTTGACCCTTTGAGACACCTGCGTTGGCATCACGAGGTGTCTCAAAGTGGGTTTCAAGAGGGTGCCTCCCTCATGACGAGGGGAACCGAGGCGAACCTGACGAAGAAGCTCGACCGGGCTGCCCCTGGGTCACTGGGCTGCCCCCACCGGTTTCGCATTTTCCAGCTCCTGACAAGCAAACATCCGAGAAGCTCCACTGCGGAAGCAAGCACCGGACGAACCTCCTGACAAGCTGTTCGTGTGGGTGTCTGGAGTCGAACATCAGACCGCACCAGCTCCACTGCTGATCCTCAGACCAGCCTGGCGAAGGAAGGTCTCTCGTCTTGTTCAAAAGGTGAATGGGCTGCGAAGAGGGTGGTGAGATCAGGTGAATGAATGGTTGAGAAAGGATCCTTACTTAGTCTTACTTATATTTGTACATATACTTACATATATACTTATATACTGCATACACCCAATTTCTTGTTGCTGCCTTCTCTCGTTGCTTATATAGATACACCAAGGGCTTTTCAAAGGCTCGTCGCCTTTAGAATAGAGTATTCTCATTTAAAGTACACTGACATCACTGATACCACCATCCTCCAGCGCCTTGAGAGTTACAAGTGGTGTTTGAATTTTGCTCGGAATCAGTCCGCATTTTGTGCTGTTAGCGTCACGAGATATGCTCCGGAGAGTTAACTCAAATGGCCAAACAACACAAAAACAACGTCTTCCAATTGGTGTCTGGCAACTGGCCCTTGGAACGAAGTGAAAAATAGTGAAATTCCTTTCCACGACTTCGCTGCCAAATTCCATGTTTGCACCTCAGCTGAGCTGGCAAAACTCCCTCCCTCCTTCGGACGACCGCGGACCCCCCGCCCCGCGCGCCCAAAGGACCGAAGGTCCTGTGTTCGCGCTTGGAGCTCGAAGAGCAGCAGCTTCGCCTCGCGCTGAGCGACCGAGAACCGAGACGAGCGAAGCTAGAACCGGACCTGGTCCGCGAAGCTTGGCATCTAAGAAACATGCTTGTGTTGGTTCGGGATGCATATGGATGAATGATGAATGCATATGAACTCATGAACACAATGAGAAGACATGAGAAAGGATGCGATGCATGGAACTTTTTCATACACTGAACGAGAAGACCAGCGAAAACCAGCTCGATGCAAGCCGGCTTGGGCTTGCCACTCATGTGGATGTTCGTTGGCTTCCTTTCAAGTGACAGAAACTTCCCAAGGACTTGTGGAACCCACATTCCCAATCTTTTTCATGAGAATAAACGTTTTGTCTGGAATTTTCAACTGAACATGTCAACCTTCTCCGAACACGCTTTCTGCTCAACCCTGCCTTGATGGCCCTTGATCTGCTCAAGGAGACCTCCAGGAAGGCTTTCTGCTCCTACATGGGGGCAGAAGAGCGGCAGAGCGGCAGCTCATGCGATGTCAAAAGATCTGAGCTTCGAAAACAGCGGGAAAACGGGTCATGATCAAGTGTGACGTTTTCGCGATCTTTCACAAGTGGACAAGGTGACAAGGTCCCTTAAATATAATCCCCTAGCAACCATCCCCATTGCTGAGACATACTCCCAACCAGTTCTTTCTCCACCTTTTCTTGGACTCACGGACCGCCGGCTTGCCGCCACACGGCCGACACCGCCGCGCGCCTGAAGGTGCAGCTCGCGCTTTCGCAGCTGCTCTCGCATCTCTTGCAGCTCTTTCTCGTCAGTGGCGTGCCTCGATCCATGGCTCGCACGTCACTGGAGGTCAGGCAGACCACATGGAGGTGTATGGAAACGAGGGTGTCCCTCTCAGGGAACGAGCCCCTGGAAGAAGGGAAATGGGAACGAGCCAACCCTTTGGGTGGTCTACCGCCACTTGCGGACAGCTGTCTGAGTGAAGGACTCCCTAACCAGCCCGGCTACCGCGTATTACGGTGGGGTGCAGGGTGTGTGTGACTATCAACCTCTGGTGTGTGGATAGTATCTGTCTATATATATATATACACACGTTGTCCTATGGTATGTTTTTGGCGTCCACGAATTGCGGAAGATCTTGTTTCTTCCATGAATGAATTAAACAAAAGGAGCGAAGTCACACACGTATGCATAAACTATGCGAATGATGTGGCCAAAACACACCTGTCTATTCTTCTCTAATTGGGAAATGGATCTGGCAGGCTTGAGAGTCCATTTTTTTCATTGATTTGTTGTAGGCACGATCTTTCAGATTGCAGCGTTGTTTGAATGACATAAATATCTGTTAATTGATTGCACAGGATAGTTGGTTGAATTTTATCTCTGATATGGGATTGTTCGTCAAAACGGGAAGATCATGGGTTTGCCCGGCTTGAAATTGATTAAGGGTTTGGATTGTTTTCAGTGCATTTGGCAGTAGCGGCCAGCTGGGTATCCCGGCTTTGCATGGCAGGTTCACCGTGCTATTTTAGCCTCGTGTCTTGGGGCATCGAGGTGTATTCAGTGTTGTTTGGAGAATGTCTCCAAGTGTTGCAACACCAATCGGAAGGTTTCTGCTTGTCGTCGAAGAGAGCGATCCTTGGCGGAAGGAGCGTCATACCGTGCCACGGTGGTCGACCATGGGGAGGTCGACGCCTGTAGCTTGGACGGATGAGATGGCAAGCTCGTAGCAACTAATGCCTGGATCACCAGCCGTGCTTGGAGTGTCAATTGGTTTCCATTTCAAGGTCTTCATCTATTTCCATACCGCGGAAATATAGTGTGTGACCCCATATATATGTCTTACAAACCATCTATCTGGTGTGGTAGAGCATCTGACAGTGTGCAGTAGGCTGCTGATCTGCAAGTGTTGCTCAAGTCAAGTAAATGCAGTGGGACGCCTTGTGTCTGTGTTGTTTTTGGGCGCATCTCATACGCCACCCTGTGTTCGTTTCTTTATTGTTTTCTTGTCAATATGTTCTTGTTGGTATTTACAATAGATTTGTTATATATATATAGAAGTGTCTTGCGAGTTTCTTTCATGTAATATGTAAAAGGCTCCAGCTTTTAGTCTTCAGGCTGATCAGGATATTCCTCGTCCTGTGCCCCAGCCCGGCAACATTGGATTCGCATCCGGCACTCCTCATCACACGGGTCAGCAGAAGCCCCTGCTCTGTTGGGACGAGCCAGCCATGAGGTTGTATACCGGCCTCTGATGTGGGGTGCCAGGAGGGCACCCAAAGCCTTTTTGTCTAAGGTCAACCTTGGGACAAAAAGGCAGCTCACGAAACAAGGCCAAAGAGGGGCAATGGTAAGGACATCCAAGCAACAGTCCAAAGGCCTAGGGCCTAGATTCTCTGAATCACACCGAGCTGTAAGTTGTGGGCGCTACAGACTGCCTCACATGCTCTTCCCATGCTTTCAGGGCACCGTCAAGATCTTCCAGCCTGGTACACTCGTTGGGCTTCAAGAGACTCCTATAGCGCCTATAGATCGCCTCCACCCCCTCCTGAGCCGCCCTTCACTTGCTTACGCCCAGTCTTTGAGTCCGCCAGTCCCGCCTTTCATAAGGCCTTTCCAGCCGAGCGGACAAGAACGAAAGCTTCCTTCTCACACCAAACTCTGCAACACTTTCTCCGCTACTTCTTTGTTAGCTTGGCAAGTGTCATGGTCCCAGTCTTTCCATACTTTGGGTGATCTGGCCTGTCTTGGGCGTCTGCCAGTCTGCCAAGTGGCCAGTCCAAGCAGTCCAGTCTAGACTGCCGTCTGTACGTGCCTCCTTGCTGCAACAAGCAGTTCACATCGAACGCTTTATTTGATCATTCCACAGATGTCGGTCCTGCCACACCCAGGAGGCGGTGTCTCTCTCGCTGGATGTCTCTGCACTGACCAAACCCAGCTCGAGCTGGATATTAAACTACACATTCAAATGAATCCCATAAGTGGTGAGGCAGGAATCTCATTTTGAGATCAATGCTGTCCTCAATCTCATGTAATTGGACCAACAAACATGGTCTCATTTACACCCCTCACGCCGGCCGGGTCCTGGCATCCCCCTTCCAAGACGGAGGTCACGGCAAGGTCACGGCATAGCCCCCAGGTGCCTCATGATCTTTTCTCTCTGGCGCACATCCCACTTGCGCTGGATGCGCTTGATGTGCTCCTCTGCCATCACCTGCCATCGGGGAAGGTCGATCGATCGGAGCAAGATCGGAGGCCTGCCACCTTCGAGCGAACGGAGCGAACGGCATGGAATGGGACAGGCATACAACAAACACAGAGGTTACCAACATGGACTTGCTCTGAGGCGAGACATCAGTTTCTCACTTCTCACCTTGAACAGTTTAGGTAGAACATCGATGTCATGTGAAAACACAAAACCCACCCCAAACGTGTCGATGCCCAACGACCGAACAAGTGTCGATTTCTCGTGTCTCTTCTACCAGGGGTGAAAGGCAGGGCAAAGGCTGAAAGGGAAAGGGCACGATCCGAAGAAGCTCAAGGGCTTCAATCGACCCATCTTCCGACCCGTGGGAGAGCCGGCAAATCGAAGGACTGGCAGACTGGTGGAGATCAATGCGCCACACCAAAGAATTACCCTGAGATTCCTGGCTCACATTGGCTCACCATTGGTTTGAATCCCAAACAACCATTGCACATAGGCCTGGAAGTCTTGGAAGGCCAGGGGATAATCAGGGCGGAGTAAAGACCTTTGAACATCTTCAACAACTCTTCTACCAGGTTTCTGAAACGAAACACGACCTGTTGCAAGAAAACCTGCCAACCTTCCGTTAAACCTTGGTTGGACATGTTCCCCCTTTCCCAGCTTTTCTCCCAAGAATTTCTATATAACTCACTTGACATAAAAGCAGGACCTAGCAGGACCACCCCTACCCAAGTCTTTCTTGCTTAACCAGACGGTGTGTAAAGGAAACATAAGGAGACCGAACTGCAGGCTTCCCGAACCGCGCAACGTTCGGTTCGGAACACCAGTCTATCCTCCCGGCATTTCAAACACCCAAACGAATCGAAACCTCGTGAGATCAATGGTGTAATTGGACCAACATGGCCATGGTAATATGGTATATTTACATGTGACGCCCACAATGGCCCACAGCACCCCATCCCATCCCATTAAAACCACACACACACACACAAAACACATAAAACACAGGCCATTCTCGCTCAAACCGCCATATATCGTGACCACCCAGAGACGAAGGGGCACTGCCGCCTCCACCGTGCGCGACATCTGCGCGGCCATCTGATCCTGGAGTTGTTGCGCCACCCTCTCGCAGTAGTGCCGATCCTTGGCCTCGGTGACGAAGCGACAAGCGGCGCTGCGCGCTGTGCTTCGTTCATGTTCTTCGCACCTTCTGAACGGCCAGGTGTCGGTAGTAGATCGCCGAGGGGAACTCCAGAAATACAATCAAAGCCAGTGTGTAGGTGGCGAATGGCCCAAGGAGCACAAACTATCCCTTCCACAAGCTGCAGCGGGGAATCTGCGGGCACTTCACTCCTTTGAAACTTCTAAAAGCCCAGGCGTTTTGGGGCCCAAAAAACCATGGTCGTTGGAAGCCTGGCTGCTTGACCATGCATGATCATGACCTAAGAGGGCCCTTGGAAAGGGTGAACAACTCCAAACAGATTCGTCGATGAGAATTCCTGCGGTTTGACTCGCCGGCGCCCGGGTCGCGCCGGCCCCCGTCGTGGCGCTTCCCGGTGCCGTCGCTTCCCAGCTCACCTTTTGACAACCGCTCAGTGAAGATATGTTTTTAACCACGCGGACATGTTTGGGGCTTGGCCAGGATACCTTGGGATGCGAACAACGGGATCCACCTTCGAAACCAACTTGGAGGATGCCCGAAGATAAGATCGCTGGTGGAAAGGAAACTAACGAAACTTCAGGGGCAACCAATAATTTCAATCACACTTGTGACCTCCTGACTGAAAAAACAACACATTCACCCCCAAACGATTTACATAGTATAATATACCCAAATTCCATTCTGAAGTCTTGGTCACAGGGAAAAGACACATCAAACTCTGAACCCAAGAAAACTCTGCACTCTGACCAAGATATGGGGTTGAGATGATGTATACTGTAAAGACACATCTCAACCCCACTCTGCACCTTTTCGTTCACACCGTTTTCGTCGTGTTTTCCGTCCACGGGGCCAGCTGAAACTTCACGCTGGCTGTGGCGCGCCTCACCTTGGTGTACTCCTTCAAATGCGGATGAGGCGTTCACGCGCGCTTCTTGAGAACGTCACCCCTCCTGTGTCTTGGACTTATATCCTGATTCGGAACCGGGATTACACAACTACATCTCTTGCAGAAAGGGGGGATATCACAACAACCACAGGTAAACATCGGAAGAAGACCCGCAGAACATCTTCCCCCCAACGACTGGGAACAAGATCACCCCTAAAGAAACCGGTAAAACACTTGATGCAAAATGCGTAAGGCCCGCAGAATGCCAACGAGGGGCGATCCAGTCCTGCAAAAAGACATGTTGCTTCATCTTCTTCCTATCCCCCAAGCATGGCGTGTAATTCGCCACTTACACGGAAAAACCGCTCTTTGGGTTGGCACGAATCCTCTTTTCTGGAGCAATGTCAACGATCCCTTTTGGTTCAACTCTCCTCTGCCTCCGGGCGCCCGGAGTCAACGGGATGGTGCCGGTTAGGGAAGGATGGGCACGTGCCGCGTCGTCACATCGGATGGGGACGAACTACGCCACCCAGGCCCTCCATGCGACTCCTTAGGGGTTTGCGTCTTTCTTTTTGAAGGGAGGCTCTTCAGCCATGGGAACTTCCTATGGCCCATCGTTGGACAACTCGGAGTCAACTTCCGCCTTTCCTTGGAAGCGTCAGAACCCCCAAGGATGGCAAGGGCTCTCCATCGCGAGCTGTTTTACGGACATTTGCGCACAAAAGGTGACAATACCAGGTCTTGGAAGGTTTCGAAGGCTAGGGAACATCAAGCTGGATAGATCTTCAAGGCTCACGAACGCTATTCTTGTCTGAATCGAGAGAAGGCTTCTTCACACCCTCACGTGGGTTCCACCGAGCTTCGGGGCAGGCAGGATGGAGTTGGACCAACACGTGTTGAAATCACAATAAACCAGTGAAGCCAACGCGTCAGTCTTGAGCTGTTCGCCCAAAGGAACACAGCTCAACGGCGACTGGAGAAGGGTGAATTGTTGGTCTTGCCCGTCATAGACTCCCTGCTACGGGGGTTCGGCAGCCGAAGTGGCTTGGTAGGGTCCGGTTTTTTTACAAAGGAAAGGGTCATATCAAGAGGTCCGGCTGCCGCATTCGTCCTGCTGCAACATGTCCAGTTCCCGGTTGTAGCCATCCTAGGTTCAGCTTGCTAAGCTTGCTAAGCTTGGCGCAGTGAGGTAGTGATAGGGCAGGGAAGCATCTGTTTTTTGGAAGGGTACCGCAAAGCAACAACCAGTCTTGTCAGTGTCTTCTCTCATCTTCTTCCAAATTCTTTTGAGACATACCACTGGTTCCCCCGATATACAGTTCCCCCTAGCTCCGCAATCAATGAAAAACATCCACAATTTGTTTTCGACCATGCTCTGTCTGCCAGGAGGCTACCTGAAAATCCTAGGTTTTTGCGGCTTTCGGGTTACTTCTATTTTTCGAAGGAACTGGGTGAATCCCCTTTGCAAGAAATATTAATTCTTCTTCCCAGCTCCTGGACAACAAATCCAAGACAGGTGCTATGGTATGTATACGACTTTTCTAATCTTTTCTCTGGCTCTGGACTTTGACTTGGGAGGCCCACAACAAGCCAATCTCTCTTGCACCACTGCAGATCGGCTCAGTCACAGTGGTTTGGGAGTTCCATGTAGTGTCAAACAGGTCTTTCCCTCTCAGGTCTTGAGCTACCATAGTCTTGCCCGGAGACCTCTGAAGAACCTTGAGCCCAACTGGCAGAAGTTCGACCTTTCCCAGGTCTTTGGAACTACCCTCAAGATCTCCACCGCCCCAAAATCTTCAGCCTTAAGCACCTGCCAGAACCCGAGAACATCTCTCCAAAGATGTCAGCGCTTGCTGTACGCTGTTGCTGTTGGTGACTCAGCAGCATCCCACGCTCGCTCCAAAAAAAGGGCATTGCTTCAATCAAACGCCTTCATCACTGCCCTAAGAATCAAGGACCCTCAAAGGTGAAGGTTTGGTTCGGGTCCAAACCCCTGCAGTTCTGCAGGGTCCAAACCTCTTCATAGGAGGGTCCAATGATTCTTAGGGTGGAATCAAACACCTCACGTCCGAGGAAGAGACCTCGTGAGGAGACCCACCGCGCTACCCTCCGCTAAGCCACGGTGGCTTCCTTCTTCCGCGCTTCGAACTCCTCAATCTGTGTCATCCTCGGTGGATGCAATACGTATCTCCCGTGCCGATACGTAAACTCCGCAGTGTGCAGGGGCTGGATTTCCGTAGAGAACGATGGAGTTTTTAGATGTTCTAAAACAAAACATGGGTTAGCTATGGTTAGCTGGTTTGCTCATTGAATGGATCATCAAGGTTCCAGGAAGTTCATAAAGACTGGTGTCTTTTGCCACTAGGATCGCCCTGAGCTGCATGTGCAGCCGCAGGGCTGGGCTGTAGGAATACGGTTCCACACCTGGTGGCCCAGGATCCTCCAAAAGGATCTCGCTCTACCAACAGAGGTGGGTCAGAACCCGACTGTTCGACTATCCCAGTTGGGCACCAGCAGGGTGATGTAAGGTCACTTGACCTCTCTTGGTAAGTCCTTGAGTCCGATTCAGATCAATTTACAACCAGTTTAGATAGGCGTGATGCCAGGTGCCTGGTCTGTTGCCAGGTGCCTGGCTGCAAGTAGGAAGGACCTCTGACTCAGCCGTTGTCCTTGGAACAAAAAGCGGCTGTATAAGCCTTTGTCCACGATTTTCTATACCAAGTCCTGGATGTCGGAAGTTGACCGAGGCCAGGACGCGCGTTTTAAACGCATCAAATTCATTTGGCGGTGCAAACAAACCCACCAACTCAGCGCACCCAAAACATCCTTCCTCAATCCACTCGTTCCGGCCACGTGTCATGTGAATGAGTTTCAGACCGAAAGAGAGAGAGAGAGAGGTCCCAAGACTGCAAGAGACTGCTTGGATTCGGTGGGTCCCAGGAAGCCTTTTTCAAGAAGGGGCCCTTGGGTGATAGACCCAGTTCGGGTTTCCCATCAACATCGATCTCCCCAACACCACGCGTTCCAATAGGTCGGACCGCGTGAACGTGTGAGGGTCGGTGTGAAGATCCTACGCCCATAGAACGGCGAACTTGGGGTTGTGGAATCCCTTTTGCTAGAATCCGTGGAGTTCCACTCTTCTCCCTCCCCTCCGGGCAAAAGAATGCAAAGAGTGTTCTTTTTCAGTGACATAGAATTTTTTGTGCCAAGGCTCATCCTTTTCTGCTTTTGCGACATCTCGAAGAACCTGGGCTGCCGGTCACACTTCTTCTTCTTCTTCTTCTTCTTCTTCTTCTTCTTCTCTTTGCCCTGATCGCCCCAAGTTTGGATGGAAGAACCACTCTCTCCATCTTGCTCCATCTGTTTCTGTAGCTCCCAAGGTCTGCCGTTCGTTTGGGCGCAGACCGCCAGCTGCCGTTTGTTGGTGCATCCACAAAGGTTCAAGGGATCCCAGGACACATCCCGGCACCTTGTTACTTGCTTAGGGTCAGGCGCACCCAGCGGTGGTTCCAGGAATCCTGGTGGTTCCTTTCCACCCGTGACGCCAACGACCACAAACCACACTTCCATCCACAGAACATCGGTTGCTTCCCGCTTTTCTCGCTCCTCGGCCGGATCCTCCCTACCATCGGTTGCCTCCCTACACTTGGTCCAACACGACGCGCGTGCTCGGTGCGAACCTGCCCGGCGAACCCGGGCGGCGCGCGCGCGCGGATGGGGTCGTCCGGCTGGGTCTCCGCAGTGTCATGCTCTTGCCGCAAGCTGCAATGCCTTTGTAAGCCTCGCGGCGGAGGCATAGCGCGCGCAGAAGGGCCATCCGCGGCGCAGAAGCTTCTTGGGGAAGTGGCGTGAAGTTGACCAGGGATTTTTTGGGGAAATGCTAGGGTTCATGCCACATCGGAAGCACATGGGTGAAACCGTGGGCATGTGGCAAATAACAGTACTGGCTTTGCGCCTGTTCGTGTCTGGTTTTGTTCCTGGTTGTGTCAGCTTTTCCTGGTTTTGACCGTCGACCACCGTTCTCCCGGCCACCGTTCTCCGGGACGCCCGGGGGCCCTCTTTCCAAGCTGATCACATTGATTGGGTCTTCTCTTTCCTCAAAAGTCCTTCTCACCCAGTCGCGTCTGTCCAGTCTAGACTTCCCCGCAATTGGAGACTCACCAGTCAACTGGAGAAGGACCTGTGAGAGAATTCGTACGAGAAGGCAGGCGATCGTCCTCCAACAGTATCGTCCAGTTTGAAGCAGGTCTTGATGTCCCGTGCTGAATCTCATGTGTTAACATCCATCTCTTGCGTTGCGATAGTTGATCAATGGCTCCGTGGCTCCTTCGACCTGTTCTACTTGTCCATCAGAAAAATTTTCTCTGGTCATACTATCATTTCATTCAAGCAAACTGTTGGCAAACTGTCCTCCATTCCTTCCCGTAAGTTGTATGCAATATCTGCGGCAACAACAAACAATTTTTTCACATGAACAAATAGGGTGACAATTGCCATACAATCCTTGCTAATACCAGAAGCTTACCTCTTTGTGTGGGAAATCCCATATTCATCTTCAACAAAGAACGCCTTTGCGAGTATGATGGCTTTAAACACTCAAATGAATGCACATGTGACGTCAAACCTGTGTAAAGCAACCGATAAAACGCATCATGCAGTAGTTTCTCAAAGGCCTTTGGCAATCCAAGAACGCAATGACCATGTTTGCTCTCTAGCCGCTTCTTGGGCACCCCAGTTCTGCACCAGTTCTGCCCTCTATGAGAGTACAAGGATGTCTCCGGAGGCACCCTTTCCTCTGCTCTCCTGGAGTGTGTATCCTGGCCGGTCCGTCATATGCCAACAAACGTGGGGTCAGGACCCGAACGTTCGCCTATCCCAGGTGACAGGTCCTATTGACGGTCACTGGCTACCTCTGGTGGAATCAAACACCTCACCTCTGCCTCGCAAAGACCTGGTGAGAGGTCTCCCCCTGGTAGTATGATTCCATTGAGAAGTTTGAAGACGCGTGAACTCCGCACCTTCGGCGATCTCGGCCGCCAGTGCAGCGAAGACCTCACCAGTTTCCAAAGGTAGGGTGTAGGGGGGTGCATGGGATGTCAAAAAGGCTGGAAGTCTAGACTTTCTGACTGTTTCATGGGTCCATCCCATGGATCGGCCGACCCCATGGGTGTCTCACTAAAACCTGATAGAACCCACGAGCCCGAATGCAGTCACTTTGTATAGAAGCGTAGCACTCAAAGCGTTCTTGTTTTCGGAGATGACTCGCAGAGTCATCAACCGTGAAAGGGCGGTTGCCAGTCAGGCGGATCAACAACGGGGACTGAGCCACCGGGTGTCCAGCCCTCTGCTCCAGGTAGGTTCACGTCCTCGAACATGCGCCGAGCATAGCACACCCAGTGATCATTCTTCACCGTGGTCGGAGCATCCGGACGATACTGCTGCTTCATCAGATTATCCAGACCTCGTCGACGGAACCACCTGTCACAGAGGGAATTGGGAAGAAAGAGAATCTTTTTGTTGGTAAGATTGCAGTTCAAAAAACAAAACAGATCCAGAGACATTTTTTTATTCAAAAACATATAACCGACAAATAATAAAACAAAATAATCGCAAAAGCAACAAGAACAACGACAACGACAACGACAACAACAACCACAACCACAAACAACAACCACAAACAACAACCACAAACAACAACCACAAACAACATCAACAACAACAAACAACAACAACCAACAACAACAGCCAACAACAACAACCACCACCAACAACAACAAGAATCACAAGAACCACAAGAACAACAAGAACAACAACAACAACAACAACAACAACCACAACCAACAACAACAACAACAACAACAACAACAACAACAACAACAACAACA